GTGGGGTCGATGGGAGAGCTTGGGAGGATCTGGGGGAAGGGGGTTAGCTATTTTTAGCCCCCCAACTCCCCAGATGAACAAACTCTCACTGGTGAACTAACCCTGGTCCCACTCCCTCCCAGCCCCTGACCCCCCAGCTTACTTTCATCAGCTCCCTGCACTGGTAAACTCTGGTAAAACTGGGACCAGGAGTGGTTTGCAGGATCAAGGGCGGGGGGGGGCTGGCTGGCTGGCTGGCCGGCCAGCAGAGGGGTTCTGTCTGTCTCAGGGGAGGGGGAGAGGCTTGAGGGGCTAAATGTCTCAGGGCCACACTGGAAATGTGTAAAGAAGTTCAGTTAGATCAGTTTAGCTGTACCCAATCTAACCTAATACACCTCTGAGATATAGTTAAATTAGATTGGGTCAGCCATTTCTTGACCAAACTAACCATCCTGGAACTTCTGTACAGTTCACACTTAGATCCACCTAACTAGGGATCTAAAAGTAAGATCCAAATTGTGGGTGAACTGAGTTAGGCCCAATGGGCATTTTTAATGTGATCTACCCCAGTTGGCCAAATGATCTGCTGGATCTTTACAGGTATTGCTCTTGATTCTGCAGCGAGTGCTTTGGAATCCTTGAAAGATAGATACAAGTGCTGTTTCTATATGCCAGGCTTAATTTTTTTGTAGCAGAACAGCAATTGAATTGAGCACATAGAGGACCAGTTTGGAATAAGTGGTGTGATGAAGGGAGCTTTCTTGTATGGGAAATGTTTTCTCTTGAAACAGTTCCCTTTTCAAATTCCTGAAATTTTAAAATACAGAAGCCCTCAAAAGTTTGGAAGAGATTAACAAAAATTGCACTGATTATTACACAATATGAATTTGGAAAAACACAGACAGACTGCTTTTTCAAGAAAGCACAATGATCATATTCATCACTATTGACATACCTATAAAATAAATCTATTAGCCTGTGTAGCTACTTGTTTTAAATAATGTGCACTTCACTGTTTCAGTGGGTGTGGTGTTGCATGCTGCCAAATTAAATGTCTGTGCTTCAAAATGTTTAACTTCAGATCTCTGTGCTAGTAAGTTTTTAACCCTAATTTCTCCCTCCCTTCAAGATTTCTACAGAGTTTGGAATTATTTTCTAAAGCTCATTTATCCAGCTTTATTGTGCATGTAACAGTCACTTCCTTAGCTCTTTATTTACAGACGACATACCACACATGAACAGTTTGTTTTTTGCTAGCTCTCATTTTACTCAATTATCACATTTTTAAATTTTTTTTATGTAGTAATGGCAGAAAGGCTCTGGATTACCATTCAGATGCTAGCATGAGTCTTTTAGTAAACACACACACATGCATATTTACAAACATTTGCATGAAGAAGGTAGTTTGCAAATCAGAGAAAAATGTACATAAAAAAGAAACCTTATGATTTCCTTAGTTCTGCTGGCGGATTGAAAGCAATTTTCAGTTGCAAAATATAACTTTGTAGCTACACTTCCTGTGTATGCATATGGACTTTTGCCAAGATCAAAAGATTCTAAAAAAATGTCATGCATACATTTTTTGCAATACCGCTATAGTGTGCAGCTGTTTGAATCTGATTTCTTCTTGATCTCTTTCTATTGTGTTGGTTTAATTGATGTTGTTATTGCAAACTCTCACCAATTTCTTTTTCTTTTTGCCAGTAGCTCACATGCACACATGGCAAGAAGCAGCCTGACATTGCTTGACATCTCTCTGCTTCCTCATTTCGATATTAACTGTTTACCAGAAAAGAAACAGGTCTGGGGCTAGGGTGTTTCTCTTTTTTTTTTCTTGTGTGAGGATTTTTGTTTCCTTTCTGTTCACAGTAGCAGATCATGACACAGAGCTTCCTCAGACTGCCCAATGCTGTTTTTCACCAACTTGAATTTAGAGCAAACAGGAGTGTGGAAGCATTTAACTTTCTGCTGTAGCCAGTGCATGGTAAGAACTGCAAAGCTGAGTGCTGCTGCTAATCTATTCTCAGGACAAACCAGTTGAAGGAATTTCCCCCTCCATAATTCAGTAATAATGACACAGCTGCAGTTTAAAGATGCATTTTGGGTAAGTGTACGTTTCCTGTGCTAAACCTTATTTCTACATCTAAAAAGTTTTGTTTTGGATTAATTTACTACTGCTTCATGCTTCAAACTTAGTTTAGCAGCAAAATGAGCTTATACCCATCCAAAGTGAGACTGTTTGCTAGAACAATCATTTGATCTTAGAAAATGTGTCCAGTTCTGACTGAACTGCAACTGACATTCTTTATTTCTAAGCTGTGGAATCCAACCATTTGAAAGAAAAAAGGACTAGTTTTTTGTGTAGTCTCAAGATCGCTTGTTTTTTGGGAGTTTCCTCAGGTTTTCAGATGGGGTAACTGCAAGCAGGTGAACCATTACTAGTTGTGTTATGAATCTCTAATACCTGCTTTCAGAGTTTTAGCAGCCTCAGCAGAACTAACCAGGTGCACAGACACCACTACATCTCACCTATTGCCTGTGTGTGTATAATGCGGTTATATGTAAAACAGGCATCCATGAGGTACTGTAAGTCCCATATTCCCCTAGACCAAAAATAGTTCTGGTTTAAAAATTTGTAGTCAGCCCTCCAAATAAAAACCCAGTAATAGTTCTTTTGAGAAGATATATTTTGAGTCCTTCTAGTTGCCTTCTAATATCTGAACCATCACAATATTCCCGTGTATTGCACATAGCAAGGTTTCACCTGCATAAATCCTGGGATGTGTCTGTGGGAGGAAGCAAAAGCTTCTATCCTCCCCTCACCAGACCTGAGGAGAGAGGCCATTAAATTCAATGCAGCCTCAGTGCTGTATTCCTTTCTGTGTAGCAACTCCCTTTTGATGAAGGGGAAGGGACAGACCAAGGATGGCACGGAGTGGGGAGATGAGAGAAACGTGAGCCAACCTCCTTAGCAGATGACTTCCATTGGAGCAGTGGTACCAAGGAGCAGTAGAGGGGGCATGCAGCCGGCTTTGGAGCACAGACCCTTTGCACAGATGACCTTGCTCCCCAGTGAATGAAAGGAGATCCACACCCCAGACGGGCTGATGCCCAGTACCTGTGGCACCTTCTCAGGGCATGGAACCAAATCCTGCCCTGCTTTTAGTCAGTGAAATTCCCCCTGAGCCCCCTCCAGAAGGTTTTTCCCCAGGATGAGGCTTGAACCGTTAAAAGAGAAAGAACCAGATGCTACAAAAATTAAAGTTCCTATTATAATGTTAATGCAGCTGGGATGCACTAAGGAGACATTTTCTAGTCCTGCTTTTATGTTTAGCTCAGTGAATATATAAGCAGAATATTCAGGAAATAAACAGTGCTGCTGGAGGGAGCCTTTGGATTTCCTGACTGTTTTAAATTGGGCAACCTTTCATTTTACATTAATGCCTTTTCTTTTGTATTCATTTTCTAAGGGGCTGAGCTTCAGTTGGAAAAAACCAGGATAGCTCTACTGACTTTGGTGTAGCTAAACTGAGTTATGCCAAATGATGGCCTGGCCCACACCAGTGTTTTGTTGGATTAAGATGAAAAAAACACAATATGGAAACTCATTGTTGGTATTCATTAAAGTTAGCCCACAAATAATCCCAAACAGGCTTTGAGTGAACACACTTTCCTTTTGCTATCATTCAGCTGGAAACAGTTTGTTGCAGGGGGCTTGAGTTAGATAAAAGATATCCATGTGGTTATACTATGGTGGCTTTATCGTCATTAAAACTAATACTGAGAATTTACAGGATATTACATAATGTAGCAATAAAGTACAACGTCTCCCTAAAATCACAGGGTCAGCAATTATTTTCACACCCACAAGTTTCTGCTGCACCCATTCATAAGGCAAACATATATTTGCTGCATCTGTTTCAATGAGAAATTAAATCTTTTCGGTATATATTGCCCTGACCCAGGGGCGGGCAATTATTTTGGGTAGAGGGCTGCTTACTGAGTTTTGAGAAGCCATCGAGGGCTACATGACAGGCAGCCCAGGGCAGATTAATATTAATTTTCTAAATGTTTTAGGGGCACCGCAGACTGGATAGAATGCCCTGGCGGGCCATGTCCGGCCCTCAGGCCTCATTTTGCCCACCCCTGCTAACAGCAGTGACATTATTCCCTGTGCCCTGTGACATGGAGAGGGCTATCCTGAACTAGCTTCCATGGTATAGAAACACTTTTACTGGTATTTGGCACTGAATATAAAGCCTGAGAGTATGGATCTATATCTGTAAGGCTAGTGGGGGAAGCAGAGTTAACTTTATCCCTTATATTCATTTTTTCAGCTTTCTAAAGCTGAGCCCTCTTTCAGGGAAATTAAACTAATCATGGATAACTGGTTAATTTTAATTTCCCACTCCCACTTCATCCCTCCCAAACAAAATGGGAGGGATGAAGAAATTGACTACAGAAATGACTCTACTAAGCTTCACACTTCAGCCATTTTTGTTCTAACTTGGACTGGAGTAAAACAAAGTAAAATAAGAATTTTTAAAAACTCAGCATATTTTTAATTCTCATACTCACCAACAGCTGAAGGGAATTTGCACAAAGTTGTCATAAAAATGTACTATTTGACCTGATGTTTTCCATAACCTGGTAAAACCTTCTAGAAAGTTTTCAGGAGGCAAAAATAGTGAAATGGCTTCTTAGGTGAATGCCTATGTGATGTCTATTATTTCTTCATAGGCAAATAATCCACCGTATTAGTATATTAATACAAATGTAAACACCATTACCTCATTTTTTCTAACAGCATACACTAGATGGAAGATAGCTATTCATGTTATTCGTAGCACGTGTGTGATAGCAGGTGAGCTTCATTTTAGTATTCATGAGTGAATTCAGTGAGTTAAATTTCAGGTTATATTAATAGGCAAAAATAGGAACAATAAGAGGTTTACTGAGATAAATGCAAGATTGCCTTTCCAGTAGGATTATTTTCTCACAACTTGGAGAAAAAAAAAACAACTTTTGGAACTGATGCTTTTCCATTAAAATCTGAGATGGATTTACCATTCCTGCTTTCAACAGAGCAGGAACAGTTCCTATTTCTGTTTGGTTTGACCTGCAGCTCAACCCTACCCTTGCTGCTCTGTTATGTACAATCTGGCCAAGAGCTGGGGATGGGTTTTGTTGGTAGTATTCAATGCTTTTCCTTAACCATCTAAGAAGATGGAACATGTTACATTTTCTAAAAGTACCTGAAGTCCCATTTTCAAAAGTGACTTAGGTACTTGGGCATGATCCAGAGCTCTGTCAAGTGAATGGAAACATTTCTGTTTCCATCCACTTCAGTAACCTTCAAAGTCATATTTGAAAATAGAAGATAAACTCCTAAGTGACTTAGGCATGTTATAAAATTACTCCCTGTACCAGGAAATGCTCTCCTACCCAACCTTAGACTGACCACAGCACTTGCATCTTTCAATGATTCAGAGTGAAATGTATTAGCAAATGGGAGGAAGGCCTTGTTAGGGCAATTGCCTGGATCTTGGGATACCACAGTTCAAGTCCCTGCTCTGCTTCAGCCTTCCTATGACCTTGGATGAGTTATACAACCTCTTTTCTTCTCCATTTCTTCTCTATACAATAGCACTGTCCCATGTCCCAGTGGTGTTGAGGAAAAAATACAAGGAGTCTGATTGTGCTCAGACACTACAATAAAGGGGGCCATGAATGCTCTTAGGACATGCAGGCAGCTATAGACAAAGCAGCTTTTTCTGTCTTCCCTCTTACTGTTATTATAATTGCACACTGTGGAAGGTTCACTGCAAACAATACCCCTATAAATGAACCTCTGAAACATTACTTTGGCTTTGTGGTGACTCTTAACCCTTCCACAGGCAACGGGTCTCTAAGTATGCGCTGTAGTTATTTTCAGAAGTTTCTGTTTCTAAAATCAGCACGTGGTCTAGGTGACACACACCTATAAGGAGAGTGATAATTTTTCCAGCCCTAATAAAAGCCATTTGAGACAGTGTGACCAATTCAGCTAAAATATAGTTTTTTCATATAGATATAGGAAGTCCCTTTTACATTAGGCACTCAAAACATTACCCTACAACACTAATAAAGAGCTGGCAGAGACTGTACTTAAGGATAGGAAGCATGCAAATACGTCCTTCTATAAAGCCTCTCTTTATCAGGTCTGGGCATGTCTACACATTCGTTAACGCACCATAGTTATGGCACATTAAGTTTAGGACCTGTAATGACAGGTACTAACTTAATGAGCCGTAGTCAGTGCTACGGCGCATTAGGAGTAGCACTACCATGTTAACGCACAGTAGAATTAGTCTGCTTGCACTCGAAGCATCTTGTGTAGATGCGCCCTCTGTTAGGGAAAATGAGGCCTGAAAGATTAGACAAATACCTGTCAGGGGTTGTCTAGATATCCTTTTCAACCTCAGTGAGGGTGATAGACTAGATGACCTCCTGAGATTCCTTCCAATTCTACATCTCAGTGATAGAACTGTGCTTTACCAGGGAAAAAAAATCATTGTTGGAGGATGGTTTCAGCATTGGCATTTGGCCTTTCTGGAGAGCTAACTACTAATTTTCAACAGAATTGCCTTTATTAAATTTGGTTGGGCATGTTTAGGGTAACAGGTACCATTTTTGTTTCATACATAACAACAAATAAACAAACACCCTTGCCACAACAAGTGAGATAAAAGAATCAAGTTCTTTCCTGATTTACCTAAAATGCCATGCATTGAGATTACAGGGTCATAAATCAGGGTAGATTAAGGCCCCAGACGTGGTGCACATGACCAGTCTACATCCTACTGTGTTATCATTTTCATAAACTGAGATAGACAAGAGAAGAAACTTAGAATGAGGGGGGAACCTGTGTGAAAAAACAGAATTTGCTTGTCAGAGCAAAGGCTGTATTTGTTGTAAGGATGGACTACTTGTCCCCATGTCCTGTAATACTCTCAAACAAGTGTATTACTCGTAAGTTCCTTCTTTGTAGCAAGAGAAAGCTGATACGAGAACGCTGGTCTCTAATTGGAACTATGGGAAACATTTCTTGGAAGTATTTGAATG